ATATCATAAAATAGATCTTTTTACACCCTACAACTTTTGTATTTAACATTTTTTTATACAACGCTTTGTTTTCGAGATATTCAGGTGTTCCGGTATATAATATTCACCCTGTATATTTTCAATCTTTTATATATTGATTAAACATACAGTTATTATATATATATATATACACACACGTACAAATATATGACATCTATTTGATATTAATGTGTTTGATAATTATTGTATTAGTCCATATGTATAATAACCCACACAGCACGTGATATTATAGAAATATTGCAATGATACTGCAATATAGTAGAATATACGATCGTCGCTACGTAACGATAACGACGTTGTCGTTAGAAAGTTAGAGAATAGGCCTACAGAGATGGGTAATATGCGCGGCAGGAAGGTATTATGCACAATTCTGCGCATAATATGCATAAAATGTTTATTATGTGCAGAAACGCGCAGAATATGCAGAAAATTCAGAAAACCCCTGAGACGCGTCCACTCTAACCTAAAATAACCTTTCTTTCTTCAATATATAGTTCGAGGCAGCTTACACTTTGCCTTAATACTTCACGATTTGAAAAGATATTGCACCGAAAAGATATGACTTCGCCAAAAAATAAGTAGTTCGAAAAGTATCCTAAGGGACATATACGTACCCCCAAGGCTGCGTTCCAAAACTCTACTCGACGGATAGAGTATTTAATTGACCAATAAGAACAAAGATAATTAGGATTTCTTTATCAAGATTGGTCAATTAAATGTACTCCACCCACCGAGTAGAATTTTGGAACGCAACCCAGATGGTTGAACCAAGCCTTTTAAGATAACCTAGCCAGTCCGAAATGAAAAATCGAATCGACTTTTCATTTCTGTCTGGGTACAATCCTACTCGCTGCTTTTGAATTAGTTTCATTAATAAATCTGTATATATACGTAGATATAAAAAAATTAAAAAATGGGATACAGCAATGAACTAGATTCACAATTTCATGTTTTTCATGATCATGGACAAATATTTATGCTCTGTCTTATATATAAACCAGTTATAAAGCCAACCAATCAGAATTTAATTCTCTGATTACTTTATTCTGATTGGTTGTAATCACATACAATTATTTACGACCACGTTTACGCAATTGTAGAATAGCTCTAAAAGAAGTTTTATACAGCAGAAAACCTCATTTAGTTATTTGCGCAGATTACTCGAGTTTTCTGCACATAAAACTTCACGCATAAAACGTGAAGTATTATGCATACTCAACCCTGTACGCGACACACGTTCGAAGCCTTTGTCGCACACGAATTGATATAACAGTAACGTAAGACGTACCGTAAAAATGGACCAATTACAGTCGAATATTCACAAAAATGGCGACCATACGGCGACAATTCGACGATACTCAAAGTGTTTGGTCCATTTTTACGCTACGTCTTACGTGAGGGCCGTGGCACACAGAGAAACTTAAGTAATAAGACGTAAGCAGTAAGCAAATTGACCAATCACAGTCGTTGATTCTTGGACCGTAAGAAGAATCAACGACTGTGATTGGTCAATTTGCTTACTGTTTACGCTTACTACTTAAGTTTTTCTGTGTGCCACT